GGGCTATGTGAAATTTAATGAAAACCTAAGTTCTACTCATATCATTGTGGGAAAATTTGACTACCAGTCCTTCATATTAAACGAACTAGAGTGAACACATTTCATTTATATGATTTACTGATAGTCTCAAAACTCTACTTACAAACGAAATATAAATCGTCTTTACCTTCTGAGAAAAGTGTCTTTTGCACGGCCTCCTAAATTGACTGTTAAAAGATTGTTTTACTTTTATAATTTTACTCAAATCAGTGCTTGTCAAGCAGGTAATAAGCTCACTTTTAATAATTTGTTGAATGAGAACCTGAGCGAAAATAACCATCCGTCCGCATTTATCCCTTTAGTCTGGCCCAATTCCATTTCAGGCTTTTGCTGCCTATTTTTCGAGGTTTCAATAAATTAGTGCGTACGCAACCTTTCAGACATTGCATTCCCCCATTTTCGCTGTAACCACAATGAACTGCCGCCCCCCCACCCTCATGCTTTTCATCGGGAATAGTGTTTTACACCGCTTCACCTCTACCATCCCTCTGCAGGAAAATATGGGCATCGCGTCTAAATGCCTTAGGAATTATCAGCAGAACACAGACACACAGACACAATCGCATGTATACACACCCAAATATTTAACGAAGCTTTGCCTCTTTTCTTGGCACAGGTCAAAGCAACGTCGTTTTGGCATGGATACGGACCTTTGGAGTCGCAGCCAAACACCATTTTCTTATCCACTCAGGCGATTCCATCGGATCTTCAAGCCGGCAAACATGATGCCCTTGGCAACAGTAAGTCCACCTCCCTGTGCGGTTCGGACTGGAAATGGAGTTCAGTGACCTCAATCAAATTCCCTCTACCCAACTACATACCTCATGTCAGTCAAATGCCATGTTAAGGTCCCATCTCTGCCCTCTCCAGATTCCGCACCTTTTTGGCCTGTTTTATCGCAAAGCAACTTTCTTCTGCACGCTATAGCTCACAAAGTGAAGACAAACTATTTCCCGCCCACTTACTTTTTGTTGGGTAATATTGCAATATTACTATTTTATTCAGAAAGTTAATTACAGACGGCATATAACTTGGATTCGCCTAAGCAATTTTTATGGCCTACTACGGCTATTTGATTTTCGAGAACTATCCAGAAATGAAAAAGCCAGTATCAATACTTTTAGAATCAAGTTGGCAAGCGCTTTTTGTTGCAATCATGTTTATATGTCTGGCTGATGTTAAAATTTCTCTTGAAATGCTTTTTTTTGCTGTGGTAAGTTTTTCTGAAAGCAAAAATCGTAGAGGTGGGTAGGCAACAAAGCCTCTTGACTAAATGGCTGTTTACAATAGCGGATAATAAACTTTACAAAATATTCATTCTGAGTAGATTTCGAGGATAACAGTGAAAGTATTAGTTACAAAATATCCTCTGCCATGTTCCACTAGTAGAAATTACTTGTGTTGCTGCCGCTACTACGGCAGCACATAAATATAATAAACGAGATTTGGA